ATAGAACTATTCAAAAATTTTCAATTTAATAAGTTGTCTTTTCTAGTGATTTATTTTATATAGTTTTCAAATATATTGGCCTAAGGTTGTCCGTAATTTTTCTTGTTTTCACTTTAATATCTGCAGTATCTGTAGTGATATCCTGCTGTTTTAATCCTGTTAGTTTTATGCAAAAACAAGATTACACTCAGGTTATATAGTCTTAATTTTTACACAAATAGTATTAAAAAACCATTCATGATATCAAATATTCTTTTACTGCAAGAGTTAACATTTTTTTTTTTCTGGGCGCTGTGGCTCATGCCTGTAATCCCAGCCCTTAGGGAGGCAGAGGCAGGAGGACAGCTTGAGCCCAGGAGTTCAAGATTTGCCTGGGCAATATAGCGAGACCCTGTTCTCTGCAAAAAGGAAAAAAACAAAAGACACACAAAAAATAAGCGTAATATTTTTTTTTTCTAGTAGTAGAACCTATTTTTCAAATAAAATCTCATACCTATCTTTCAATGTACTCACAAAAATGGAGGTACTGTAATTAAAGCAAGAACAAAGTGGAACTGGATCTCTCAAATACTTATCTACCTTTCCTTTTTGAAGTCTCCCCTGTGGAAGGACATGCTATTAAAAATTATTATGCTATATTATAAATTGCTATATATGTGTATGTACAACTTAATTGTCTCTCCATTGTTGGATAAGCCCCTAACTCATTGGAGACAATATTTTTGTGATTAATTCTTTGATGCTAATTGCTTGAAATGTAATTGCTATGTTAAAGTTTAACTACAGTTTCAAGACTTTAAAATCATATGTATAAATTGCTCTTTGAAAAAGTTGTAGCTGGGTGTGGTGGCTCACTGCCTGTAATCCCAGTACTTTGGAGGCTGAGGTGGGTGGATTACCTGAGGTCAGGAGTTTGAGACCAGCCTGACCAACAAGGTGAAACCCCATCTCTACTAAAAATGCAAAATTAGCCAGGCGTGGTGGTGCATGCCTGTAATCTCAGCTACTTGGGAGGCTGAGCCAGGAGAATGGCTTGAACCTGGGAGGTGGCAGTTGCAGTGAGCTAAGATCACACTACTTGCACTCCAGTCTGGGCAACAAGGAGTGAAACTCCATCTCAAAAATAAATAAATAAAATAAAAAATAAAAAGTTGTACTAACTTATGCTCCTAGTGGTGTAAATGATAGTGTATCACCCACATCTGTATCAATATTATATATTACCACTGAGTATTTCAAAATATTTGAAGGAATATTATGCAGTCTTTAAAAATAACAATTCAGATGCTTAACACCTAGGAAAACATTTATAATAATAGTTAATGCAAAAAGTAGAGTCCAACTGCACATTTAGGCAATGGTAGGGAAGTAACATGGTTTGTGGGCATTTTTCTTCTTACTATCCCAAATTGTCTTAATTACAGTTTTACAATGTGAAAGTAGAAAAAAAAATTCTGAATGCAACAAGCTTGGCCCCTGTGTCGGAACAACAGAATCAAGCCACACTAGTAATTTTTAAAAACAGATAATTTAATACAGAGAATTAAGTTTACACGCACTGGTAGGTGTGAAGGCTCTTTAGGAATGATTCTCTGAACAATGCTACAAAACTGCCAGACATGGAAACAATCAGGAATCTGGGTTCAGGAAACCACTGCATCAACGGTTGAAACCATAATACCTTCATGGTACAGTAATCTACCATGGCAAGTATTGGCTCCAAGCATACAACACTGCTGGAATTCCTTAGCAGGAATTCATTGGTTCATATCCTAAATGCAAACTGCTAGGTTTAACATTGATGCCTCACAGACTTCAGTCTCCATTGAACTCAGTTTCTGAATTTAAGTAAGTATTACTAGTGAAAAGTCAATTACAAGAAGCACCTTAGTTGCAAGGAAGTCTGGGAAAGGTAGTTTTTATCCTTACAGCTTCTTAAGTACAGGAGAGTAGTCCAGAGAGAAGCTGAATCAGCTGTGAAGCAAGCCAATCTACAGATGCTTTCTTTCCTTGAGGATGATCAATGAAACATTAATTGAATTTGGAGTCATTTTGCTTTGTCGAGGCTGGAGTGCAGTGGTGTGATCATAGTTCATTGCAGCTTTGAACTCCTGGACTCACACAATCCTCCTACCTCAGCCTCCTGAGTAGCTGGAACTACAGGCATGCACTACTACATGCAGATTACACAAGGTTTTTAATCATTCCTGTTGGTTCCCTCAACCCTACCCACACAATAGTCCCTTCATTCAAGTTTCTTCAATCACTCCTTGAGTGCACCATCTTTTCCTGCTGCCAAAAGGTTAAAATAGCCAGGTAGATGAGATATAAATATAGCCACAGCTGAGAATGTGTCAACTTTTTGGAGATAGGATCATTAAAGAGGTAATTAAGGTAAAATTATGCATTTTACCTAATCTAATCTGATTTCTTTATAATGAGAGAGCAGGACCAGGGATGCCAAAACAGAAGAAAAGACCATCTGAGGACACAGTGAGAAGACGGCTATCTACAAGTCAAGAGACCTCAGAAGAAATTAAACCAACACAGCCTTGATGCTCGACTTCTAGCCACCTGACCTGTGATAAATTCATAATATAAGGACTACATAAGAATATATACTATATTGAACAGTAACTGTTCAATATCTTTATAAGAACACACAGTGAAACTCACAGACCTAGGCTTAGAACTGCCTCCTGACTTCTCATGGCCTACTCTTTCCATGCTTTGGGTTATTGTTCTGACATTTTCAAGTCCTTAATTCCCAACATACTTGAGTTCCCAAGGTCTCCCATCTTTGGTCCCATCTCTCGACTCTTTACTCTGCCTTTGTGACAGCTAGCCTCTCAGATGGCTCCTAGTGATCCTTACTTCCTGGTATTCATACCCTTGCAAATCTCCTTCCACAGTGAATTAAGGAGTGGACTGTACAACCCATTAGTGCACAGCTGAGATGATAGTGTGTGATCTCTAAGGCTAGGTCATTTGTTTGGTCTCTGGTATCACTAGCTTTGGGGAAAGCCAGCCCCCATGCCACAAGGATACTCAAGCAGCTTGTGAAGCAGTCACCTGAAGAGGAAGAGAGGCTCCCAACAACAGGCAGCACCAACTTGCCAGCCATGTTAGTAAACCCCTTGAGGTAGATTCTTCAGCCCCAAATAACTCATCGCAGCTGATTTGACTGTAATTTCTGTACAAACACTGGGCCAGAACTGTTTGGCCAAGACATTCCTGAATTTTTGATCATGTCATGGAAACTATGAGATAGAAAAAGTCACTACATTCTGGTTACACAGCATTGGATAACTAATACGGTATTTCATAACCCTCCACGCAATACATAGTTCTCTATATCCTGCTTTTGTCGTTTTCCTTACCTCTTCTCATGAAAAAAAACCAACAAGCTAATGTTCTCACTATGTCCAGCTCAGTCTCTATCTTTATGAAGCTTTTCTTGACTGCAGAACTTTGTCTAGTCAAGCTAATGATTCTTCCAATGTCCAGCTCAGTCTCCATCTTTATGAAAGTTTTCTTGACTGTAGAACTTTGTCTCTCGTTGGTAGCTCACAGTTGGCACCTCAGAAATAATCACTTACTGTCCTGTATTATTTCACACATATTAATTTGTAAAGATAAAGATGAGGTAGATTTCTTTCATGTTTCCCATAGTGCCTTGAATAATTCAACACGTGTAGCAGCTACCTTAGTGAAATGGCTAAATTATTAATAAGCTAAATTATTAATAAGCAAATTATTAATAAGATTTTGATTCAAGTAGAATCAAAATCTGGGACAACAGTATCTTCTTAGTCTGACTTCCAAAATTACTGTTTTGTCTAAGGATTGGAATGAGCAACTTCCAAACGCATTAACAAGGCTGATTAAAAAATAGCTTTGGGGTACGTAGGGTAATATGTTTCACATACAAAATGGAAATTTAAAGCAGGAAAAACTAAATAAATGTGTAAGGACAGAGCATATAACAAGGGTGAAGAGGTGAAGACTACGGCCCAGTGTTACAAATGAAATTCTGTCCTTAATAGTATCCTGTACCCAATGCAACAAGAATCCAATCATCTGTGTTCTTAAAATACTGTTTTCCATCATTGGAGATGTCGATTTAATGGTTCCTAGAAGACAAAAAGTTATGGCCAGCAGAAGTGGAAACATGGTTCACTGTCTGTAAATGGTAAACTTTTGGAGCAGACTGCCAATACATTGCAAATTAAACTTCAAAATTACTGCTTGGTGTGAGAAGCACTCAGATTAATGACTCAATATGTTTATCAGTCATGGTTCTCCAGAAAAAGAGAACCAGTAAGATATACATTATATGTATGTATTTGAAGATATATATTTATATATATCTTTATACACACACACACGGGGGAGACAGAGACAGGGGAGAAAGAAAGACAGAGAGAGAGAATGTTTTAAGAAGGGCTCCAGGATTGTAAGAACTGGCAAGTCTAAAGTTGGTAGGGTAGGCCAGCAGGTTGGAAACTTAGGATTAATTTGTTATGATCTTGAAGCTGAATTCCTTCTTCTTTTGAAAACCTCAGCTTTTGCTCTCAGGCCGTTAGCTGACTGAATAAGGTTCAACCACATTATGGATGAGGATCTGCTTTACTTAAAATCAACTGATTGTAAATGTTAATCACATCTACAAAGTCTATTCACAGCAACATCTCGTGTTTGACCAAACATATAGGCGCCATAGCTTCACCAAGTTGACACATAAAATTAACCATCAGAATACCGTATCTGATAAAGTGGGCTTTTTGGGGCATTATTTGATTTTAATTTTTAAATTTTCTATACCACTGTATGTCCCTGCACTCCCCACACTCAGAGTACTCCAAATGTTCCAAGCACCACATGGAACACAAAATCAGAGGAGACACATTAAGAGTTAATCACCAACAATAAACATAAGTAATAGTAATAAAATCTTTTCTAATGAAGTGTAGAAACATATTAGAAACTTAATTTTCTCTAGGTGTTCCTTTATTTAATCAAAAATAGTTATTTTGTATAATTTTAAATCAGGAACTCTAAGAGGACATGTTACCCAATCACAACAGTTAATAAAATGTTTCCCATTACAGACCCAGCTTTTTAAACACTCAATAACATTCACAGAATTGACAAGTTATTCTCCATAAAATTCTAACAAAAACTGCAACTCAAAAAGTGTGTCAATATCAGAGATGATGGTAACTTCCTCAAAGAAGTTACATGCAAATACCCAGGAGTCTCATGGTTTACAAGGTGCCAGACATATGAGAAAATAATCTCAAAAAAGATAGCCTCACAGTACCCAAACTTCCCAAATACGATTTAGTGACAGAGTTGCAAGTGGACTGGGTGGGCTACGTGAACCAAAGTGCCGACTTACAGCAATTGTTAGGATTTTATAAAGTACTGGAGATGTTTGAAACTCGCATAGAAATGAAAAAGCTCAGCAAGCTAATAAACAGAATCATTTCCCAAGCCACATTTTACATATAAACTCTAGTTTCTGAAGATAAAGGTTGCATGCATGCTCTTATTTATTTGGACTTTTACTCAGTAAAATGCTGGTAGCACTGGCTGGCTGAAGGAGTAACAGGGAACATGCATGTGGCAACAGAGTTTCTCCAGGTAGCTTTTCCTGTTTAGTTAGAGAGGATCATGACTTGTATTTCAACATGACTTAGTGAGATCTTTGTTGCAGAAAATGAGTGACATATAGAAGTGCGACTGGGAAGCACGGTTAATGGCAGAATTAGGTTTTGGATGCAGATAAAGACTCTAAGGAAGGGTTGGAAATACAAATTTCTATGTCGTTACTAGTTCACAATCTTAGTATCCAAATTGTCTATTTAAGGTCTGGAAACCAAATTGTTTGAAAAGTTTTATTTGGTAGGAGAAAAGATCTACAATGGGACCTTTACAAAGATGATAAGCAAGAGGAGAGAAATAAATTTATACATATGATTTTGTCGTCAAAATTTGGGAGGATCACCAGCAATCAAGAACTTACATAAAACCACCTTTTTAGGTAAAGGAAGTAGAAACTATGTTAATACCTTGACCAGTCAGTTGGCTGAAATTCTGTTAACAGATATTATACTGAACTGGAAGAAAATTAAGTCTATAGAAGACAAACCAAATCATTTTTAACTGTAGTAATGCATAAATTATTTAGACAGATTGAAAACAACGATCTCAATAACCTGACAGTTGATTTCTATCAAATCAAGTCCATGATGTCTACAATATTTATTTATACCATGGCTTTTCATCTCCTAGTTCAGTTTTAAAAATTATATATAAAAATATGTATGTAACATCAGTTGTTATTGACAGTAGTTGTTATCATAGAATGTATATCTTTCTCACTGTGTGTATCCACTTGATTTGTTCATATGTCTAATCCCTGTCATGGACCTGATTGCTTACCTGACAGTGGAGGACAAGACCTATCAGAATGACCCGAAGACAGAAATAGGAAGGATCAGCTCACCTCAGCATTATTAAAAGGCCAAAGGCTCTGTAGTCAAAGTACTAACACCAACACTTTTAACGAGCCAAAAAAGAGGCACTAGGGGTGTTTGTGAACACGCAAGAATTATGATCAGTATCTACAGCATAGTGTGTAGGCATAAAGTAGTTAATATTTTAACAAAATACAAAAATACTGTTTTCTCTAAAGGGGGAAGTAGAGAACTTCCCATAAGTAGAAAAAGAAAAACACTGGTGTTCAATTTCCGGTTTAAATGCATTTATGAAGGAAGACTGTAATCTCTATTAATTAAATATAAAAGAGTCCAGCAGAAATTATGACCTTAATGTACAAGTATAGTGATAGTTCTGTATCAAATTAAATTTAGTCTATGATTAAATACAATGCTATATATACACACACACAAACAGACACACTCATAGTACCTTTATGGAATTCTCTAAAATGCTCACAGTAACTTATATGGTATTGATAATGATAAAGATATATAAACTGAAGTGCAGATGTAAAAAATGTTTTACAGCTTACTAAATGTTACCTTCCATGGGTTAAACAGCTTTTTCAAGTTTGAACTTTAAGTTTTGAAAGCAGAACTGTGCTTTGGTATTCAAACCTTCATAAAATCTTACAGTTTTTCAAAATAAGGAATTACGGTAAAGAACTCTAAAGTGGAAGAAAAAGACTTCCAACTATAACATCATAACTGTCTCAGGGTTAGCCAGGGGTTTTTAGCCCACTCCTGGCCAAAGTCTAGCTTCTTGGAGGTGAGTAAAATGGTTTGATTCAAATTTAGTTTTCATATGTGTATATTTTATAATTTAATAAAAATGCTCATTCTAATGTGTCACATACCCTACTTTACCATACTGGAGACTGCTTATGTATGAACTTTCACTACCAGGATAATTAACTTTGTATAGACCTTGAATAAATTTAGCTATCTCTAACTAAAGAATTTCCTGAGATGTATGTTTAAAACCCATTATTTTTGCTTACATATGTATGAATCAAAATTTTCTTGGTTGTATACAAATAAAGGCATAGCTATAAATTGGCTGCTGTTTTCATCAACCATGTATAACTCTACATTTGTGTTATTGTTATTCAGAAATAATTCAGAATCTTATGCTTAGTAAGGAGCCAAAATGAATAAACATAAATGTGAACTCAAAATACATTTATATTGATAAGATGGACTTTTCAGGGTATATATATTGGAATTACACATAAAATTTCATTTAAAAAAGATTCTAGTGCTAAAAATGTTTGGAAAACACTGCTCTATAAAAAACTTTTAACTCTCTAATACAACATTCAATGTGATTTAGTTTTCTAAAGCAAACTGCCTTTCTAATATTCCCTGTTCTTATTCAGAATAATGGGAAATTTTCTGAAAATGAGAGTGCTGCAAATCTTCAGATATGGTAACTTGTAAAAAGTTAATGATAAATTAGACTAAAAACATTCATAAGTGCTGTAGACCCTTCTGATACACAGCTGTAAAGAAAGATTTTTTATTTTTGAATTAATTGTGTTTATTATTGTGTTTAAAATCTTAAATATATTCATCCTCCAAGTAACAGAATTTAGTATCTTTACACACTAGCTGTATTGTGTGTTTTGATAGTTTAGGCACATTTCAGTGATTTTAGATTTTATTTTGTGGTTTCATTATAAAACAGCTTGCACACCAAACTTAATCAATCTTTTTTATTTAAAAATTCACCTAAAAATTCACTTCTGGGTTTTAGTTTTCGCTTAAAAAGAAGCAAACGTTTAAAGGCATCAAATGTTACTAGTCTACAATTCATCTTGTTATGAACATTTTTAGTTTGTGGATTGGGAAAATAAACCTATTATATTGATTAGGCACAGTACTATGGCCAATGGGCAAGAAATCAGGGCACATCTATGTATTCAGGCAACAGTTAAAGGTCTGAATGGAGGGAGTCATGCCTCAAATGTAGACTCTCCTTTCTCCATGCCCCCTCCAAATACTGTTACAAGTTTCAAATCAGTACATGAGATTGTATGTAACTTGGTGAAAAGACAAACAACTATACCTGTTTTCTAAATTATGTTGCAAAGCCAAGACAGATGAATATAATTGTAGCCTCACTATAACTTGTGGTCTTAATATCTATGTCACAGGACCATGTCATAGGTGAGACAGAATTATACCATCCCTCTGGTGGTTTCAGAAATCTAGTTGGAAGGAGTCCATGACTATAAAATTTCACATTATAGCAAGGCTCCAATATTTCTTGAATTGGGTCAGTGAATATAAATCACAGTACAAAATCCCCAATTCTTTTAGTGGAAAAGCAACAGGTGCTACATATGAGAATCACTTATATAACATCTATCTTTTTTTTAAAAAAAATGCAGATATAAAATATTAATTGCATAGGGATTTAAATATAAGGCCAAGAAGAACATTAAGTAAAAAAAATCATAGAAAGGGCACTATGGTGTCAAAAGATAGAATTTCATAGAGTAACAAATCTAAATTACTGTCTAATTAAAAATCACAGTATGTTGCTATAACTAACAGTGAATGTCAACTGCTTTATTAATTCCAAACTGAAAACCAATATTAGGACTAACAACAACACAACCAAAGCTCATTGTCTAAACCTGATCAGTGTATTAGCACATCACTGCCTGGTACGTACCTGATTAGTTATATAATCTACCTTTTGCAAATAACATTTAATACATGTTAACAAGTGTAAGAGCACATCATCACTGCATGCCATCAATGATTTGCAGGCTTACTTGATAGTGTAATTATTAAGTCTTTCAAAGGTGCAAGATCCTACCCGGCAGAATCTTCACTCAATGAATCGACAACGCTGTAATTCACAAAATACAACAAAATTCCACCATTAAAAACTAAATGTACAATAACCAGAGAACTAGGTCCTGACACCGGTACATACATTATCCTCAGCATTTTGGAAGGCAACAAATGATGAGTCCAAGTATAAGCTAATGGTTATCACCTGAAACTTCAGGTCGAAGGCTAACTGGTGAATCTACCTCTCATTTTAATGTTGCTAGATTGCAGTTTAAACAGCAATTTCCAAATCTAAAAGTAGCTTAGTTAACTTAGTATTGTTATATAAAGTAGTGTGACAACAAACAAGAATTCTCAATGGAATTATGTTAAGATACATTGGGAATACCCCAAACAATGTTTTAGATGAAAAAGTGCATAAATACAGTAATACTATGAGTGTGTTAACTATGGAACAAATGTTTCTCTGGGAGCTAAACAATACTATTTTCCCACATTATTTACATGTTATGAATTGTTCAGATACCACAAAGCACCACTTAAGTCTAAATTGCTTGATTATGTCAGAAAGGTCCTTTGACTTCAACTCTACTCATTTGAGAATCTACCTAGAGTAGAAGTGTCAAGTCATTCTTCAAAAGGGATTTATCTTTATAATTCAGTTCTCTTTTGTTCAGAAATGGCAAGGCAATATTTTCATTTCACACTCTTTGTTGGCGTTTCTGATTCTGTGGACTGTCTCCCATCTGTCCAGGCTTCCCGGGTACTCTTGAGAGCCAAGGTCTTCTGTTGGTCAACAACGACATAATCCACCCTCTCATCTGCTACACTGCTGCCTGAGCCACTGGTCTTTTGCTAAAACACAAAGAAAAAAAAAAGTCCAACATATAAAGGAGTGTTTCTGAGTAAAACTCAGTCTTAAAACACAGACACCCAGACACCCATGCATTGTGAATACTCCTTTTATTCTTTTGGAGAATGAGTTTCGCTCTTGTTGCCCAGGCTGGAGTGCAATCGTGCAATCTCAGCTCACTGTAACCTCTGTCTCCTGGGTTCAAGCAATTCTCCTGTCTCAGCCCCCTGAATAGCAGGGATTACAGGCATGCATCACCACACCTGGCTAATTTTGTATTTTTAGTAGAGACAGGGTTTCACCATGTTGGTCCGGCTGGTGTGAAACTCCTGACCTCAGGTGATCTGCCCAGCTTGGCCTCCCAAAGTGTTGGGATTACAGGCATGAGCCACCATGCCTCGCCATGAATACTCTTAAAGTTTTTCTGGGTCACACACAAAAAATCACATCAACTATCTAAACTTAAAAATGTCTCTCTCCTAACTATATACTAATTGCCTTATTAAATTTATTTATAAATTTAATAAGGCAAATTTAAATTATATAATTAATTTGCCTTAAATTTAAAATTATTTTATTTAAGAATTCAAACTAGGCCAAGTGCAGTGCCTCACGCCTGTAATTCCAGCACTTTGGGAGGCCAAGATGAGTGGATCACGAGGTCAGGAGTTCAAGACTAGCCTGGCCAAGATGCTGAAACCCCATCTCTACTAAAAATACAAAAATTTGCTGGGCATGGTGGCACATGCTTATAATCCCAACTACTCAAGAGGCTGAGGCAGGAGAACTGCTTGAACCTGGGCAGCAGAGATTGTAGTAAGCCGAGATCATGCCACTGCACTCCAGCCTGAGCGACAGAGTGAGACTCCATCTCAAAAAAAAAAAAAAAAAAAAAAAAGAATTCAAACTAATGCTTCTATTGCAGATGAAATTCATATAACATAGGAACAGCAGATGCCTGTTTTATCTTAACATAGCTTGATTCTCCTATCAACTTAACTTTGACTTTCTCTCAAGCTCTGAGAGCATGAATCAATGTTTACTTTGAGAGCACAAGAAATTTTTTTTTGACAAGCAATACCTCAAGAATAACAAACTACATGGCTGATGCCCTCTTATTCCTAAAATTCAAGAAGAGATAGATACTTAAATAAAATTATCAATGCACTGCTGCACTCACTAGAAAGTGAAATGTCTAAGGTATAAGAAAAGCAGAGGTAGTGGTGAGCTTCTAAATGGTAAAGGCAGTGTTGGCTTTAGGATGACTATCAATCTCAAAAATGCAATCAGGAGGCCCTGTATTGGACTGAGACTATCCCATCAACCTGGGGATCCGTAAAGGGAACTGATGGGGTCCTAGGGTGGTAGCACCTCCTGGTTCCCAGCAGAAGCAAATACAAACAGTTTATGGAGGAAATTTAGGTCCTCAGAATTCCCACAGATAACGTCCAACAAAATGAGTTTGCAATAAAAATACATAAAACACACACACAAAGAAACAAGCTGCAGAGAGTATGAGTTAGGAGAAACAATATACACAGATGCAGACCTCCAAGGATTTCAGATATTGAAAAAGTGGCTATTAAATTAGCTAGATATATTTGAAAAAGACCCAAACAGAATTTCATTTTAGAAATGGAAAAGCAGTATCTGAATAGTGCCTGAGACTTTCCCAGAATTGATTAAAAAAATATGAATCCAAAAAGAAGACAGCACTTCTAACAAAGCAGGATAAATAAAAAGGAATCTATGTCTAGACATATTGTGGTGAACCTGTAGAATACCAAAGATATAGAAATGATCTTAAAATCAGCCAGTCAGAGAAGACATTACCTACAAGGGAATTACAATTAGACTAACAGCAAAATTTTCTATAGGAATAGAAGCAAGACAGTGGTGGGACAGTATCTTCTATGGGCTGAGAGAAAATTATTGTTGATCAAGAACTGTGAACTCAAGCAAACTGTTTGCAAGAGAAAGCAAAATAAAGACATTTAAGTTAAACGAAAACTGAAAAAAGTTTTTGTAGAGTCCAGCCCTACAGGGTCCTGTGAGCCCCTCTCTACAGGTGTGGAGACGAGAAACCATGAAAATAAAAAACACATGACATCAAGAAAGAGAAAACAGAGTTTGGGCCCAGGGGTCCACTGTCAACCAAAGCGTGGAGTCTCCCACGGGGTCACCTACCCACAGGTTTTTACCAACAGACCTCCACTAACACCACTTCTAAAGAGTATATTTCAGGGTGGAGGGAAAATTATTGTAGAAGGAAAGTCTGAGAAATAAGAAAGAATGCTAAAGAAGCTGGTAAACACGTAGAAAAATGTAAATAAACATTGTTATATAAGAACAGTAATGATACTGTCTAATTTGTGGGTTTAACAAAAAGATAACATTAAAATTTTGTACAAAAATAGCAAATAATTTGAACTAACATTTTAAGGAGAATAAAGACACTAGACTGGTTAATTATAGAATTCATTAAATAACGGCCAGGCATGGTTGCTTCTGCCTGTAATCTCAGCACTTTGGAGGGCCAAGGGCACGTGGATCACTTGAGGTCAGGAGTTTGAGAGCATCCTAGGTAACATGGTGAAACCCTGTCTCTACTAAAAATACAAAAATTAGCCAGGAGTGGTGGTGAGCATCTGTAATCCCAGCTATTTGGGAGGCTGAGGCAGGAAAATCATCTGGACCTGGGAGGTGGAGTTTGCAGTGAGCCAAGATCACACCACTGCACTCCAGCCTGACCAATAGAGCAAGACTCTATCTCAAAAAAAAAAAAAAAAAAAAAAGTTAAATAACTATTTCAATGGTAACCACTAAGAGTAAAAAGTATAAAATTTCCAACCATCAGGAAGGAAAAAAAATAATCAGCCCCCATAACTATGTTATTTGTGGTTTATGAGACAGCATCAAGTAGCAGACCAGACTAAATTTATATTGAACATAACTTAATAAAATTCTCCCAAAGAGGTAATTCTTCAGGTTTGAAGTGTGAACTAACTGTATACACAGGAGAGGCATGTCACTCACCTTGCGTGGTGGTGTGGATTTCCCAGAATCTAAGTCGAGATCTAGGTATTCCACCTGTTTGTCTCCTTTAGGCTTGATCATAGGGCTGCTTCCTCCATCAAGACTGTTACTGCCAAAGAGATTCTGAAAGTATTAGACAACAAAATCAATGGTCATACATTCACCAGACATGCCACTTATACTGTTTGACATCTACGGAAGCCTAAATATTTGCTTTCAAGAGGATATAACTTAAAAAGTTAAACAACCTTTCAGGATAGAAAGAAAATAAGTAAACTGATTAAAGCCTAGCTTACAGCAAGCTAAACATGGTTTCAAAAGTTAGACTTGGTTTACACTAAGATTGAGACATCAAGAGATAGTTAGCTATGATAGCCCAACTTGAAATTATTAAAACATATCTGTACTCAATTATGCTTTCACTCTATCAGATCCTTATACTCCTCGCTTTCAAATTAAATTTAAACAAACTTTCCACATTTTATTTAAAGGCTTTCAAACTAAAATTTATTTTGAGTAAATATGTTATCTATGGAAACATGACTCCATTGGCTAAGTCTATTTTGTTTCAATCATTTGGATTTTTTTACCACTTAATTTCCTTAGTCTGATCTTTTCCTTCTTGAAAGGCATATATTCTAAAGAACATATTTAAGAGAAAAGGAAAATTATTACCTAATGAAGGCCTGAGATACAAAAAGAAGTGATAAAGAAGCTGGTAAACATGCAGAAAAATGTAAACAAGCATAGTTTATATAATAAGAGCAATAATACTACTAACTTGCGGGTTTAAAAAGACAGAATTAAAATTCTGAACAAAAATAGCACATAATTTATGCCAACATTTTAAAGAAAGTGAAGACATTGGTTAATTCTGGAATTTATAAATAATATAAATTTGTTTTCAGATAATTTGTATAGTAGGAGTACTCTCTAAAAAAAGCTAAAGAAGGGCCTGGTGCGGTGGCTCACGCCTGTAATCCCAGCACTTTGGGAGGCCCAGGCGGGTGGATCACAAGGTCAATAGATCGAGACCATCCTGGTCAACATGGTGAAATCCCGTCTCTACTAAAAATACAAAAATTAGCTGGGCATGGTGGCGCGTGCCTGTAATCCCAGCTACTCAGGAGGCTGAGGCAGGAGAATTGCTTGAACCCAGGAGGTGGAGGTTGCAGTGAGCCGAGATCGTGCCACTGCACTCCAGCCTGGGTAACAAGAGCGAAACTCCATCTCAAAAAACAAACAAACAAAAAGCTAAAGAAGATAAGAACATAGATGTCAGCAATAAACAACAGGAACAAAAAACTTGATGCAGCAAAATGAAGATCAGGCACTTGAAGATCAATGCCAAATAGAAAAGGCTGGCATGAACCTGAGTCCCTATATATTCCCTCCACTCTAATTACAACAGGGCTTCTATTATACATCTGCTCTAATTTTAATGTATGTGCTGCTGAAGCGAGCACTATACATGTGACTTGTTTCCATGCCTTACTCCTTTTAACCCCATCTAGAAATGTTTTTGGCTTCTCATATGCAAGACTGTGTATTTCTCATTAGGGGTTTTTCATTCTTGTGCACTGCTGATATTTATGTTCATATATTACCTCATGCTTTTGAAGAAAACCATAATGATTTAACAAAGTTAAAAATTTACACATTATGATGAACAAAACAATCTGAAAACTGCATACGTCTGGTGGTTCTAGTTGATTTTTTTTGCGTTGCTACTTCATTTATATTTGCTTAGGTTTAACAGAAAAAACTGTGCCTTAGGGAAAGGATACTTCTAGAAAAACATTGAGACTATTCCCCCATTTTGTAGCAGGGCTAATAGCTGGTAAGGAACCTTGCTGATAATTATTAAAAGGCTACTTCTTGGCGCTGGGGTGACACAGCTCTATGCTGTGGGCGACTGCAGCTTGCTGAGCAGGTCATGGCCTGAATTTCACATGATTAGGTATGCAGTATGTTTATGCAGTAAACAACATGCACAACTAAATATAATGTTCTTATTTGGAGAAATAGATATTTTAAACCAAATTTATCAATTACTGCAAATAAAACATTAAAAAATACAGAAAATGGCCGGGTGTGGTGGATCATGCCTATAATCCTAGCACTTTGGAAGGCTAAGGCGGGCAGATCACCTGAGGTCAGGAGTTCGAGGTCAGCCTGGCCAACATGGTGAAACCCCATCTCTACCTAAAAACTACAAAAATTAGCCGGGTGTGGTGGTGGGCATAATCCCACCTACTTGGGAGGCTGAGGCAGGAGAATTGCTTGAATCCCAGGCAGAGGTTACAGTGAGCCAAGATCACGCCACTGCACTCCAGCCTGGGAAACAGGGAAACTCTGTGTGCAAAAAATAAAAAATAAAAAATAACATGTAGGGCACAAAAAATATAAGCAAGTTTTGGTCCTCAATTAATATAAATGACTATCCCTCTCTTTTTACAAATTCATGGAGAAACTGAAATCATCATAAAACATTTTATCTGAATGACTCTATATATCATTGTCACATAAAATCAGCCATGAATGTGTAAAAATTTCTATATTCAAATGTGATCAGTGAAAGACCCATACCCTGCATTTCTCTGATTACAAATGTCTAGAAGTGACTGCAGTATTACAAGGCTATAAAAGAAACTCATAAATTCATATGATCTGCATGCATAATACCAATAAATTGCTCTTAAAGAGAATTTCTCAGAATGGCTAGTTAACCTATTGTAGTCTATTATTACTATAACTGAATACTTTTCCATCTTTAAGTATTGTTAACATTTGTGTCTACAAAGAAGTCTATTTGCTCTTGAATTTAATCTCCACTGGGAATAGCCTGTCTGTATTCTAGCCTTTCCCCTAGTATTTTCCCAAAACAGTTTAGAAAAACTCTAAGATTCTAGAAGGTAAGCATTCTTTGAAATAATAAACCAGTAGTGCTATTTTTTTTTTTTTTTTTTTCCTTTATGAGATGGAGTCTTGATCTGTTGCCTGGGCTGGAGTGCAGTGGCTTGATCTCGACTCACTACAACCTCTGCCTCTTGGGCTCAATAAATTCTCCTGCCTCAGCCTCCCGAGTAACTGGGATTATGGGCACCTGCCACCATTGACAGGCTAATTTTTGTATTTTTAGTAGAGATGGGGTTTCACCATGTTGGCCAGGCAGGTTTAAACTACTGACCTCAGGTGATCTGCCTGCCTCGGCCTCCCAAAGTTCTGGGATTACAGGTGTAAGCCACTGCACCCAGGTCTAGATTTTTAAAAAATTCTTTAAAAATTATGTAAATAAATTTTAACATATTTTTGTTGTTATTATCACACAACAATATGTATGCCTTTCATTATGGTGTACCATCATTTGAATTTCAGGTGTCATGTTAAGAATTCAGTTCATAATGTTTGACTTTTGATCTAAACTTAAAGAAGTTAGTTAAATATTGCTATAATTCTCATATTCTTTTCTAAGGGAGAGTGGTATGGACTATGATGAGTCCTTGCAGTTGGCAGTATGAGGGGATAGAATTCACATGGCTGACTTTTCTATTGTACTTGGTAGACAGGTATGTCCTCCTGGGTCATTTTTGCTTTTTTCTTACACATAGAAGCTAAGTAAGTACTTCAGAAATTCACCACAGGCCGTGTGCAATGGCTCATGCCTATAATCCTAGCACTTTGGGAGGTCAAGCAGGCGGATCATTTAAGGTTAGGAGTTTGAGACCAGCCTGGGCAACATAGTGAAACCCTGTCTCTACTAAAAATGCAAAAATTAGTTGGGCATGGCTTACACATGCCTATAATCCCAGCTACTCAGGAGGCTGAGGCAGGAGAATCATTTGAACCCAGGAGGTAGAAGCTGCAGTAAGCTGAGGTCATGCCACTGCACTCCAGCCTGGGGGACAGCACGAGACTGTCTCCAAAGAAAAAAAAAGAAATGTGTCACATTGTGTTTACTTTTATTTAGACATCTCTACTGATGGCAAGTAAAAGTACCTTTCTGGCTTTATGTCATTAGGTGTAAAAAAAGTATTTTGATTTCTGATTGCAATGTTCTTATTTTTCATCTTTTCCCTTCATCTAACACCCATGACAAATCACATTTTTAAACTTTCCTATTATATGGCCTTTCCAAAATTTGTATGGCTAGTTCACTATTTTAAGCAAAAAGACACTCTTTAGAACCTTAGAAAATACTATAATTACTGTACAATAAAAAAACAGTTTACTCAATGACATAAAGTTGAAAATTGGTGACAATAACTACTCTGACCCAGAATTTAGGATTTAGAGTTTTACTGGGGTCAACGTACTATACTGAGGAAAACTAACTTAGATAATAATAATAGAATTCCACTCAAGTTGAAAAATAGTGAATACAAAAGCAAAAGTCAACTAATAAAAACTACCCTGGCTTGAAAAATCAGTGAAAACATTATTGATATACTGATTATATTATTTGAATACTTTATAAATTTGGTATCTTATTAAAAAATTTGTATAGACGAGGTATCACTTATGTTGCCCAGGCTAGGTATGAACTCCTAGGCTCAAGAGATCCTGCTTCAGCTTCCTGAGTAGCTGGGACTACAGGCGCATGTCACTGTGCTTGGCTAAATTTGATAATATTTTAAAGTTAACTAATTGAAGCACAAAATCAAGTTTTCCATATCACTTAATTATGTTTCCTGACAACATATAGTTGTAACAAACCTGCTTCTGCCTAAAGTCTATTAAGGATGAAAAACCAATTCATTGCTAGAATTGAGCTTTATGTTTTATACCTCTAAATAGGGTTGTTTTAAATAATATAGGGCCACTAAAGTGTTAACTCCTTCCAAATTTTGACATTAGGTATTTGCTTACCCTGGTAGATACGGCTGACTGCCCGTCAGTACCTGCCTTCCCTCTCCCACACGCATGGGATTGTTAGGTTAGCCCACTGCTCCTCAGATCTAAGACTGTTTTCCAGCTCCTTTGTGTCTAAGTGTGGCCACACCAGCTAAGTTCTGGTTAATGCTTTGTATACAGTGGTTTTGAGGAACCATCCTTATGAGGCAGTTCTTTTTCTCCCTTTCCTCCACCTTGGAGTTGGAATGTGGCTCTGCTGGCTGCAGCATCATCTTGTCCAATGAACATATGCGCACACCCAGGGAAAGGACACTGGAGAGCTGGAAAAGGTCTGAATCCCGGAAGACTCTATGGAAGAGAGCTGCCACAACACCTTGGATTGACTCTCTCTAGACTTTTCCATGAGAAAGAAAGAAAATTCTCTCGAGTCACAAATAAATACTTATTTTCTTTTACTCAGATGGGAACTTAATCCTAAAGGATATACTTATCTACTAAAATACAAATAACAAAGGAAACATTAAATCTTACAAGGAAAATGTAAAGCAAAATATTTTTAAAAATTAAAATTGGTTTGTATTCTTAAATGTATGAAGTATTTTCTGGCAACTACCTGATTTCTGAGGAACAAAATGCTCACTACCATTAGAAAATTCTCATGCTTTATGGCAGTATAGCCAACCTGGAACATGTAATGTTTATAAGAGGTCTTCTTTAATCTTTACACCTACCTAAGGGTATACTTACTTATAAGACCATTTTACCATTAGAGGGCTGTGACATAGCCTTAGAGAACTACATTATAAAATGCTGTATATTTTTCTGAAGTGTATAAAAAATCAAGTATCTCTCAAATGACATATAATGGATAACTTTATTTATTTATTTATTTTTTCAAATTAGAGACAGGGTCACATGCTGCACAGGCTAGCCTCAAACTGCTGGACTCAAGGACTCAAGTGATCCTCCCACATCAGTCTCCCAAACAGCTGAAACTACAGGGTTGTGTCGCTGTGCCAGGCAGTTTTTATTTTTTTAACTCATTTACGGTATATTTTCACCTTTTATTGGTTTTAGAGTTTATGATATTATTTTTAGTAAGTATTTTAAAACGTTTTATTGCTTTTTCTTTTAAGTATATATAGAAAGACATGAGGATAAAATTTATAGATGGAAAGAACAGTTCTAGCTTGAATAATTTAAAAGGGCTGCTCAGGGAGAAGTTAAGACTTTACATACTGGGTCTTCACTGGACAGGTTTGGGTTCATGGGAACATAATTCTCTTCACTGTCATGTGAGTCGCTGCTTGAAGTTGTGCTGTGCACTGAATCCGGTCGGGGAGACATGGGAAACCTAGAAGAGCTAATTACAAAAATTATCATCACAAACATACATCTTGACAAAAATATTTAAAATTATTCCCCAAATAAAAATGAGATAATCTGCATTCTTTCAGAAATATTCCCTTATGTTTATAATCACTCATTGTACACATTTAAGACATAATTTTTGTGCACAAACATATAACTAATATTTACAACTGTATTATAAAAGTATGTTTTGGACAGCAAAGTATTTTGTGTAGAACAAACAAACTACTACCAGTGACTCTGTCAAAAGTAGAAAGCTTCTGTTATAAAATGGAAGACTCAAGAATTTTGATTTTCTAAAAAACTATATATATAAAACATGATCACATGTTCAATATAAGTTTGTAACTCATAAATCCCTCTCATTTCCCTATATATATTTAAATAAGTTTCAGTTAAATAATCCCCACAAGAGACTACCATATTTTCAAGATTAGTAGTCCTCAGAAATTTTTGGCTTCACAGCCCTTTTACAGTCTTAAAAATTATGGAGAATCCCAAGAAATGTTTGTTTACATGAGTTATATCTATTAATTTTGCCATCTTAGAAATGAAAATAGACACCTTTTTAAAACACAAGTAGTACACAAATATTCATTCTATTGGGTGTCACAATGATATCATTGCATATCATGTAGCCTCTGGAAAACTCTACTGTACACTCAGAAGGAGCAAATAAATACAGCAAATAACTCTTAATATATTAATGAAAATAGTTTTGACTTTACAGAACCCCTCAAAAGGGGGCTCTTCATATCATCCATTGAGAACCACTATTCTAGATACTTTCCATGATAATGAACAATTCTAGATAGTCACATTATTCATACAAATAACATATTCTAGACAAAGGACTTACTCTCGAGCAAAACTCCTAGTGATGGGAGATCTAACTGGGGCTTGTAATTCTTCCCATTCTGGCAAAGGTTTTATTTCTAAAGGTGCTGGCTTGACTGAAAAGAAAAAGAGGAAAGGGATTTTTAGTGTACAGAACTTTGGAAAACGAACAAGATTTGCTCTAACTCTATTTACATTTGATAGCCAGAGTAAACCTAAGACCACCTAGTTTCACATATGAAATGAGGTTCATGAATGTTACATGATTTGCTCAAGGTTGCATAGCTAAGCAATTCGTGGTAAAAGCTAAATCAGATAACGTTTTCATGATTTTTACTTCAAAGTCTAAATCTCTATTACAACATGTTGCTTCTTAAGTAAATATTTTATGAATATAAACTAAGTGAGATGAAGAAAGAATGTGACCCAGTTTTTTTGTAGTTGCTTTATACATTTCATTATTTCATAAATTATTTCACTAATTTCATACTCAAGGAAATTTAATCATCTATGTAAAATCATTCCTATTCTTCAATATTGAAGCATATAACTATAAATATAAAATGATGCAAAGAAACTATTAAAATTTTGTCAAAACCCTAAACCAAAAAATGTTTGAATCTTTTAGAATAATTCATGCCCAGTCTGGAAAGCAACAAAACAAAAAATATTATATCTTTAGATCCAAACTCTGTCCTGAGAAAAGGGCATAATTATTTTACTTCAAATTGTTAGTGTAATTTAACCAACAAATCTCTTGCTCAATATATACAATTAAGTAAATGCTAATATTTTTGTTAGTTTCATTTATAAGTGATCTTTACTTATCTCATTATTGCAGTAGACCATTAAACCAATATATACCACAGATTTCTTAGCCATTTTCTTAAAGTCAATACTGAAATTTTTTTCAGACATTTATGGAGTAAGCAAAAGAACGAAAACAATACTATTTAATACTAGATACTTTAGGAAACTATCTAAACATGTTAGGTAAATATTTCAGTAATATTTCATTCTGCCACTCTTAACCAAAAATTTCATCTTTCCAGGTTTGTTTATAGTGTTTGTCCATGTATGTTTGATTTTAATCATTATCGCGTAATTACCATTAAACTATAAAATGGTCATTTTAAAGGACCATACACATCAAGACTCATAAGCAAGTATTTTTGTCAACTCACATATAATGAAGACCAAATTAACTTATTAAATTCAAGCTAAAACCATTTTCCTTGTCTATATTCTTAAAATGGACACATACAGAATATTCTGCCAACTAAAAGTATTTCTTTAACTCTTATTGTTTTACTTTTTTGACATCCAAAGGCTAATAGCAGTTTAGCTGTCAATTTTTAAATAATGGGACAATTAATCCATGGAAATGATTCTTTATTCTGTCTCAGAACAGAATACATATACAGAAATACAGAAGACAACAGAAACTCACAAACTTCACAAATTTAAAGGATAAAATGTTGTCTAAAACGTTAAAAGAATAATGTACAAGGACAAGTCTGAATATCACATATTATCAAACATTTAACATGCTGCTGTTAATGGCATTGTAAGTAGACTCTATGTATTATGGGAAGCGCTCACTTTAGAATGCTGGAAAGTTTTATTTACAACAGCAGTAGTATTTGAGGTTTTTCTTTCTTGATTTTTAGAAAAAATAAATTACAAAATAAATTCCCAATGCCCCATACAGCATGCGGTGCTAAAGTACATACCCTTTCTTCTTGTAGCAAAGTCACCTATGGTTTGTGAATCAGTTCGCTCTAAACCATGGGGTTTGAGTCTTAAAATTTTAGGACTTTGACCTAATTGGTAAAAAGAAGACTCTCTTAATATGTTATTTATTAATTAGAAAATGGATTCTGTAAAAAAGCAACAGAGCCCTGTGCAGAAATGCTACATCTCAAAAGCATGAACAAAAGTTTGTGGAGAATATTTCAGTCTTGCTACATAAAATTCATGCTCATGCCCAGCACAATGGAAAAGAGGAAGTTACATGCAACAATGTAAGAAGCAAGGAGGTATAAAAGATGGTAGGATCTTAGTGGGATAACCAGCCTGGTTAGTTGTTATCTTCATTTAGGGGAACAGAGGGAAAATATGTGCCATGTTAGTTTTTCTTCTAACATGTCTTAGAAAACTGGATCAAATTTTAAAAATTGTAGAATACCCTAGTCAGATCTCAATTACCTCTTTCTTTTTTTTTTTTTTTTTGAAATATGGTGTCTCATATGAAAACACCAAGGCCTACTTCCTCCTTGTAATACTACTTTTCTAATTTGGTAGAGATGTTTTTAAAACCTTAATCTGACTATTCCTGTACCTCCTGACCAAGACTCTTCTAGAGAAGCAAGTGGCCACTACTGTATTTGCTAATCTAAAACCAAAACAAGACCAACATTTCCTTCCTCCGGATACTCACTGGTTGCCCAATGGCTTCATCTTACAAGAATTAGATGTTTAGATTCTGGTTCTACTGATTGCCTAGCTTCAGTTTAATTAAGTATATGAAAGCATAAATTCAGTTACCATCATCTTCCTTTCATTTAATGTCTGTCACACAAAATCACTGCTGAAAAGCCTCTGAAAGGCATATTTCCCATTAGAAGCCTGGATGTCAGAGTTGCAATATCAATCTGAATCAGTGACTTAAGCTACTCCATTATTGCCGGCACTAAATTTTCTTTTCTTTCTTTCTTTTTTTTTTTTTTTTTGGAATTTACAAAGTTGAATTGACATCTATTAGGTGGCAGAATCAGAATTTGCTGGTTAAATGCTGATATCTAGCACTTACCTATCAAAATCTAAAAGTCTCTTAAAATATAATTCTGTAGAGGTTACAAAAAATAAAAATTTCCTAACCAATTTTCTAAGTTACACAACACATTGAGTTTATTCAGAAATGAGACAGCTTGAGTTTAAAAGGTCAATATGAACATTTTGGGCAAGATCTACTCCTTACCCCTAAAATTCCCCAATCCAGGGCCCACACCGGAAGGATACTTTTCTAAAGCAAGGTAAGATGACAACTTTTTAAACTCCCCCAAATAGTGTGCTACCCTTCAAAAAAAGTAAGACAGAGGGTAAGTCTTAGTATTAAAATAAGATAATTATTTTGGAGTGAAAGGCCCTTACAAATCTAGTTTCTTCATTTTATGAATGAGATCCACCCAAAGAAAGAAGGCGTTATGTGATTTGCTCAGATCACGCTTTAATCAGAGGCAGTTAGACTTCCTCTAGCCTGTCACCAGATGGTTTGGCACTCTTGTTCCATACCACACTGTCTTACCTTTCTAGACCTTTAATTATAGAGAGAATCTCAGGAAATTTAGCTGGATACCATGTTGGAGCTACTTGAAGTTCATTTTTGAACTCTCCATTGCAGCTAGAGAGCTTACAGCACTCTGTGCTGCACAGGAACCCAGACAGAGAAAGGAATAAATGTGCTCATTAAAACGCTTATGTCTATAGTTGATACTACTCTGAATTTACAGATGTGGCTTAGGGGGACATCTACGTGAATGCCACAGAGAAATGCCCCACCAGTGATGTCAGGTTTAATTACACAATGCTCTTAGAACTATTTTTGGTTTGCTGGTCTTGACCGGTTATGTGTGATGCACTCCTCCTTTTCTGAAAGATCCATTTTCATTAGCTCTTCAGCTTCCACCTGATGTTTTTCACCATATTTATCTCCCAGGGGTCACTCTTTGCATTTCTCAGCTTTGCACCCCCAGTATCTTATCTATGTTTGTGGTTAAATAATCAAGGTCACATGACTGCTAAATCTTACCTAGTTATCGTTTCTCACTTTTTCTCTAGTTCTACCCTCCAACTGCCTGACAGGTCACCTCCAATTATTCCTCTGCAACTGAAACTGATTGTTTCTCCTCCAAACCAATGCCGTTTTCCACCTCCAATACTCTTAGCAATGACACCATTTCCTGGATCCTTAGGTACACATTCTCAGAGTTATATAGTCCATCCCCTTTGACCATCTGTATTTGGTCTCAAAATGCTAATGATTTCCCAGTGTGACAACAAAAAGAGCTTTTAAAATGGTAAGGACTGAAATGGGAAAAGCAGGTAGTCAAGGTCAATGAGAAAGTTACCAGAGCCTGTGTGAATGCTGGTGTGATGACTATAGTCCAGAATGATCACGGCCTATGAAAAATTACATGGAGGCTCTTTTAAAACCTATGTTTAGAGGAAGAGAAGCAAGGCAAGAACAAACCTGTTTGGGAAGAAAAACTAATCATAATAGATAAAACAGAGAAACTCAACTTCTATCTTGCTTTAGTCTTCTCTAGCTAGAAGAATGATTTTCAAACTGAAAAGGACAGAAGAAATGATAGCAGCTATTAAAAAAAAAGGCCCATTAAGTGAGAAAGGTGTATGAAAGTTGATTATACAAACTGGGTCATTCTTGTTGTACCCAACTAGATCAGGGTTGAGGGCCAGTAGCAAAAAGCACCCAGGGCACAGAGCAACTGATCCAAGAATTAACATTTCCACAAGCCCAGGTGCTGAAACAGCCTGCTGCAATCCTAAGACCAGTTTTACCTAGAAGCTGCTGAAATGACCTGCCATGACACTAAAACTGGTTTTACCTACTGCCATCATTCACCAATCAGAGCTTGCCAGTTCCCAAGAAATTCTCTAGTGCCAGCGAGCTTTCTTTCAAAGCAATACATAAGATTTCTCTTTCTAATAAAACTTCCAACCTCCTCTTTGTTTTTTAGATATGACAAAGACCACTGGGTCTCTGTGTGTGTATCTCAGATTGCAATTCTTACTTCTCAAATAAAATGTTAAAGATTCATCTCTACATTTTTTATTCAGACTTTAACAAGTGCAACATACTATCCAGCTACTTTCAAGTTCTATTCAGTCAATTACATATCAAGATAGCAGTGATTTTACAAATGAGAACACAGACTACATATGATTTATCGGGGGAAGTCATGGAGAACAAGGAGACGCCACAGAATAAACTATGGATGCATTTCCATCATGTTCTCTTGAATTGTGCTCTGCTCTAGCTAGACCATTCTCTTCTCTTTTTCTCATGTACATCTTTAAAAGTTCAGCCCTTTTCTACATTCTTTCACTATCGATATCCACTACTGCTTTATCAATCAGTGACTAATTGCTACACATAGCTCAAGTTAGAATACATTCTCTAAGACTGCCCAGAGAAATTACATTACACTTAATCATCAATAATGAACATTTACTTACATGTTCTTAGGATTAGATACTCTAAAACCTCCCAATAACCATGTAAGGAAGGTACAATTTAATAAAGACTTTAACTATTTTATTACAAAGCTTGCTGAGGCTTATAGAAGTTAACTTGCCCAGACTCACAAAGGTGATGACTGGGAGAGCCAGAATTTAAATCCTGTGAATCTAGAGAGAGGGTTCATGTTCTCAGTCCCATATCCTTATTTCAAACCTAGAATCTTTACTACAGTTACTCTTAGAAAGAGTATTTGCATTGTTTTGCTTTTATATACAGTAAGTTCTCTCAACTAAATTTTAAGTACTTCAAATATTAGAGACGTAAAATCTCTACATTTCTCTGAAGGGTTTACCTTCCTGACCAGTAATTTCTTGTTGGTTACACTGAAAACATATAAAATGTAAGTGATTGTATTGATGAATACAATGTGGATTAAGTAATTTTCAAAGACGTCACATGCTCCAAGGAGACTCGTATTAGGCAAAAGCAGCTGAATGAAATCAGTAAGTCTTTCACTCAACTTCTTCTTCATCTCCATTACCTTTCTTCGAGGTGGGTACCAAAAGGGTACTCCTTTTCTAGGGTATTCCTTGGTTTTCCTAATAGAACAATATGATATAATCATATGGAAATTTTAAAAATGCATTTATAAAATTTACATGTATTTTCTACTCTGCGTAAAGCTTAAGGTTAATTTTAGGGCAAAAGCTGCAATGTGGAAATGCTGCACTGAATTGTACTATGTCACTTAGACATTTTGTTAGCTTAATTTCTCAATGCTTCCGTACTCAACTTGACATTTATGTACCAGACAGAAATGAAAATCATACCCAAAGAATAGCCCTATATTACTTAATAGGAGAGAAAAGAGAAAAAAAGTCCAAGGTGTACGTAGGTCTGTCTTAGCCTTTTCTTCTTCTTTACTGCCTGTATGCAATAGGCCAATGTTTCACTGATTGCTGAAGAAAAGTGTGAAAATAGATAATAAGAAATAAGAGGTCCTGGTGCGGTGACTCATGCCTATAATCCCAGCATTTTGGTAGGCCGAGGTGGGTGGATCACGAGGTCAGGAGTTCGAGACTAGGCTGGCCAATATGGTAAAACCCTGTCTCTACTAAAAATACAAAAATTAGCCAGGCGTGGTGGTGTGCGCCTGTAGTCCCAGCTATTCAGGAGGCCGAGGCAAGAAAATCGCTTGAACCTGGGAGGTGGAGGTTGCAGTGAGCCGAGATTGTGCCACTGCACTCCAGCCTGGGTGACAGAGTGAGATTCCATATCAAAAATTAGTAAATAAATAAATAAGAATACTAAAGCAAAGGCAAAAATACACCAACTTTGGTGATTCTCAAATGCTTAGAGTAAACAGAGAACTCATCTGTGCCTGAACCTTTAAGTCCAAGGCAGTTACAACTTGGTTTTTGCTGGACTTGGCTTGAAAAAAAGAGTACAACATAATTGAAGAGCACTGACTACTGGAGAAATTTCTATCTGTGCTTTAATCCTTAGGAGGACTGTTAATGTCAATCTCTTGATCATGTGATCTGCTCCCTAATTTGGAGT